AGGTTGTATCCGGTCGGAAAACAGCGTAAACGGAAACACACCGAATACCCGTAACGGGGATTACACGAACAACGTGTTTCTTTTATCGTGCGCGTCGATACTGATGGAAAGTCATCGTCCGCACGCGTAAGAGCAAGGCGCCGGTAACATTTTAGAATAATATCCGCTCCGATTTACGACGCGATCCGCTCGTTTTTACGTCACACACAAAGTCGGCGGGGTAAACACGCGCCATTCGAAATTTAACGCGTTGCAGTGAACATTGGATAACTGTAACACTGAACGAGTCCGGAAGATTGCCATTATGAGAAGGTAGAATGAAATTCACCCCAGCAAACGAAGGTTTTAGCATAGTCGTTATAGGAAAACACAGTGCAGGTGAAGGAAAAGGAAAGACTGAGAATCGAAGCGTTCGATATTAAAGACTCGCAATGAGCTTCAGACTTAAAAATCAAACGTTTTTACTTTTGACTTTTAATGAATGAAAATTTCACCATCATGTTTGTTATGGTTTCCTGATTAAAATGACACCAAACACGATAGAATTGCGATCATAATTACTTGTATAATACTTTATTGAAGTTTCAGTTATAGAAAAAGACTACGAATAGAGAAATAGGAGACATTGAAAGCGTCGAGTTCTACAATAGTGTATTAAATCGATAGTGTATTAAAAGGAACTTGGTGGGGATGCCGATGTTGCAATTATTCCAGTGTTCACTGTATTTATGCTTGCTGTTGGAATTCTTGATTAATTGCCGTGACAATGTTTATCCTCCTCGGTCAATTTTGGGGTAAGGAACCTCGCTCATCCAATGGCCACTCTGTCGTTCTCTCTCCGACACCGAATAACCTCGTTTTTACAACGAGCGCGGGCAAATTACTGAGGACCGCTGTAATAACCCTTGGAACACCGTTCCATTATGCATATGCAGACATTCGCGAGAATCACGCGGACGGACACGGTGCGCGGTAATGGCGATGGGATTTTCAGGAAAGGTCGCCCCTAGCTGACCCGGAATTCTCCGTTCTGACCGACTTCCGCGCGTTTTCCCGCGTAATCCCACAGCGTGGACGTGAGTTAGGTTAGGTAGCGCGCTGTGTACGCTTGTGGGCCAATTGGCCGTTTCGCAAACTGGCTGGTCGTTTGGCCAAGGATTTCCATGGGAAGGATGCGCCATCGGCAGTAAAAAACAATTGGATCGCGCCGTGTGTCGAGGAACGTTCCGCTCGAAAAGCCGTCCTTGTGCGGCACGCCGTTCTTCATGAGTATAATGACAAAGAGGAACGCGTAATCCCTCAGAGTATCGGAATCCGGGCGCGCAATATCGACGGGAGGCATCCGACGAGCTTCCACGACGTCGGCACGTAGTCACGCGCGTTATTAACGAAGGGAGGTTCGTTGAAAGCTCGCGGACCGAATCGGCCCTGCTTTACGAGCCATCCTCCGCGTAATAGACCCACTTCCTACGGCGAGTGTTCCTCCGCCGCGAACTTAGCCCCTACTTTGCCTTCTCGTCCGCGGCGCTCGTAATTTTCCACGAGAATCCCTAGTCGCCTCGAAACCACCCCCGGTTGCGGGCGGAAAGTTTCCTCGTAAAATGTTCGACATGCCTGGAAGCAATACTAAGCCACGCGAAATGTTTCGTTCGACATCGGCGAACGACTGTTTTAAAAGGTGCGAAAGTTTCTATTAAGATCTTTCGTTCATTCTGGAGATGTTTGTAAGCTGCATATTCGCGAAGATTCGTAGCGATGGTTCTTAACACTAAACGCACTGCGACTGGTTTCCAAATTTGATTAAAAATTCTGCACTATATTTTGTCTATTTAACTTTATATCAGTACTTATATTATAGAATTAATAAATTTTTGTTATTTACTATATTGTACAGTAAAATTAATAAATTTGTATTTTACTTTAGTTATTTTACTTTTGGTGTTAATTTTTACTTATTATTTCCTTCTAAGCGTCTGACTGAAATTAATTTGCATTCTACGTGATGTTCACTGTAGCGTGAAGTGCGATTGATGGAGACATTCGAATCGCTGATCACTACACGCATGGACAATTTCAACGAGTTCACGGAGAATAAATTCCTCCTGCGTTAGAGCACGTAGATCAACGGGGTAAAAGTCCGTACTAGGCACGGTATTGCGGCAAATTAAGCGTCAATTGAGACACTCGAATGGCTCTAATTACGACGTCATTGACGATTGATATCCGGAAATTCACAACGCGACGCCGTCTATACAGGCGTGGATTATTATTTCGATTTCGGCTGTATGTAATTCCGATCGGCCGTATTGTGCATGAATTTTCGAGAATCAATGAGAAGGACGCCGCGAAGAGAATGACAATTGACTATTCTCGTTGCGACCGGACGATGATAAAAACGCAAAGAGTGCGTATACCGGAGAAAAGGAAGTTCTAGGTCGCGTGACCGCGACACACTTTCCCGCTCGCAATTTAACCATGAATAATTCACCCTCCAAGCACAAAAGTAGATGCGTTCGCCTAACGCGAACGAACTCTGGAGAGCCGGTGGAGACCAGCGGATTTACTCTTGCACTTTATCTCGTGAATAATTCACGCACGGATTACCGAGGTACGGTTATTTGGTCAGCGCGCGAACGTTTACGAAGGTGGTGCCCCGAGACGAAGGATGGCCTCTGGCGGCGGCATCGATGCCTCCGAATACCGGAACACGGACAAAAAGGGGAGCGAACGCGGAAGAGTCGTGACATTGATGGAACCCGAATGGAAGCTAATCGAGAATCGAGTTACGTTGACGGCAACGGGAACGAATCGTCGGCCACGTAGGAGTGCGGGAACACCGATAGATTGAACCTTGTGTATCTGTCACTCACGGCCTCCAATATTATTGCCAGACCTGGAAATACCGCTTATCTATGAAATTATCGACAACTCTGATTCTGCACAGCCCAGAAGTCGATACGCGGACGCGAATATTGGAGATCGAACGCGACAGATGACGCGATAAAAAATATACTGCTCGATTTTAATGGCGGTGTGCACTTGCGAGGCTGGTGAAGAATCGTGTATCCGATCGATCAGCACCGCGAAATGTTATTGCTTAACATGGTACACGTCCAGGATCGCGTTGAACGTACCCTGAATCGAGTTAATCTTCATCATTTTATTTGGCCCGCAGCTAATGAAGCATTCAGGCCAGACATCGGGAGACGGAACGAGGGGCACAAGGAAAGGTGGTTAGAGGCGATGAGGGAGTGAATGTACGCTCCGCGATGAAATAGTTCGGCAATCAGAGAAGCCCGTGGAAACGACGGAAAAAGCCCAAGGTAGATTGAAGCGCAGGAGAAGTTCCAGCGGGCTAATTATAGGAGCTCATTCTGTCTTGGCCT